ATCATTATTATTTATTTTGGAGATGTTTTACTTTGTTTAAAGTAAATTCCACATCACCCTAAATTTGGAATTCTAAAATAATAAAATTTCTTACTGTTTGCATGACTGACACTTGTAACACCGATTTCACCAATATAACAAGGCATCTTGGATTAAGAAATCTCCAAGTGGAGTTAAAGAATTGTTTCTTAATGCTTTTGTGCTAATCTTAAAAAACTCAACCTTTTTTTTTTAAGATTGAAAAGACAATATTATAACCCTAAAAGATTGCATAGAAAACAAAATAACTGTTTGTGCATAAGTATGTAAATGAATTAGAATTGCATAGCTAATTGTGACATCACACCAAGGCATATAAAAACCAAGTGACAATGAAGAAGACAAGGTGAAGCTTCTGAGTGCAAGTGAAGAGTTTCAGATCAAGTGATGAAAATGAATTTCCTGGAATTTTTTGGAAATGTTTGACCACAACACATTCTGGTTAGGTTAGGTTACTTGGTTTCTTTTCAACATGTAATCATTTGTGAAAATTTGTTGCGGTGCTCGATACGTCAACATTTTCTAACAACTAATTTACTAAAAATAATTACTTTGTCAGGAACTTTTATTAATAAATCAGTCTTTTTTCAGAGTTATTTATTTTTACAAGAACTATTACTGTGACATTTTGAGTTACATTTTATGTTCTTTAAGTGACATTTGCATTTTTTTCTTATCAATACAGTATCTTTTACAGTGACAAATCATAAACCCTTGCTTACTTCCAGATGTTAACATGGATGCTGGCGAAGTGTGAAGTTGTGTTGACATCCTGAATGTTAATAAAGTTACTCTTAGAAATTGTAAATTCATTACGAGCATAAAGTTGATCGAGAAGATCCTTGTTTCTTAACTGATAGAGACCTGTGAGCACTAAGATTGGCTTTACTTTACCGCTAGACTTATTACACCACCAGAGGACATCAAATTAGATTTAGAAAACCACTATTTTATTTTCAGAATGCAGCTTACATAAAAAAATAAACGTAGCTAACAGAAAAGCTAACATACGAGACCAAAAAAACGGTGTCTACAAATTTGAATGTGACTGTACCACACCCAAATCTTACATTGGTGAAACTAGTAGGGAATTAAAGGTCCGTTTCAATGAACATATCTCTGCCATAGCACACAACAACAATAACTCAGCTGTAGCTGCTCACTGTAATAATGAAGGCTGTCAGATTGTAAAGGATATTGTCAAAATACTTAAAAAGGAACAAAATACTTATAAAAGAAGATGGTACAAACACTTAGAAATAATAAAAAAGAAAAAGAAAATCATGAACAACAACTCCGGTGAAAAATTACACGAATCGTGGTACACATATTTGACCAGGGAGCGTGGGGGGAGGGGAGAGGTGTGAAAATGGATAGGGACGAGGGTGACGGTTACCCTCTGTTTACTCTGTTCGTGTTACTGTGAATCTACTTATCATTTTGTTTTAACAATGTATATTTTTACTACTTCACTGTTTTACCAGAACCTCAGTTTATTATTATGTTATTGTACCAACATTACTGTTTTTTAATGGAAAAATTTTGTTTTACTGTGTGCTTAGTCTTTTAATTAATGTTCAACACATTGAATCCACATGTCAAATGTAAGTCCACATTCTGTTCATTTCTGTCAATCACGGTCTTTTTATAAAAATTGTTAACCACCTATTATTTCTGTAGCAAAAAAGCTGATGAGGGACTCATGTCCAAAATGCATTCTGAAAATAAAATAGTGTTTTTCTAAATCTAATTTGATGCCCTGTGGTGGTGTAATAAGTCTAGCGGCAAAGTAAAGCCAATCTTAGTGCTAACAAGCCATTCAGAAGACTAGACAAGAAGCGTATCATAGTACAGTATTCATTGATAGAGACCTGATGGATTAATGCTTGTAACAACAGCTAAAACATTTCTGGAAGCTGCATGTCCCCAATCAATATCGAGCACCCTAACTAAAACATTTGAACCAATTTCAACCTGTCCGAGTAACCTAGCCTAATCTAACCTAACCAGAACATGCCATAGTCAAATATCATGAAAGCTACAACACAAATTTCACTTTGTGGTCGTTTTTTTCGCTTAATGAATGATTTCGGTCTTTGAGCTTAACATATACTAATCATGTTTCAAACTAACCTGTTTGTGTCATTTTTGTCCATTTTCAAAGTCCAGACCTAGCAACTGACCAATGCTCTTTTTCATTATTGTTTGTGTAATGCTGTTTCATTAGATTTAACTCTGGGCTGTTGAATAATGCATTACAATAAGAAGTTTTGGATGATGTAATGTCACTATGATAATAAATTAAGAAAACATGCATCACCACAGAAAAAGGTCTGAGCTTTATTTTGTGCCTTACAGTCACTGCACCTACAATAATTTGGCTGAACATTAGACACCTTTACACAATATTAGCAAAGGAACTTAAGACACAAAATAAACCTCAATGCTGTGATGATGCCTGTTTTCCTGATTTATTATCACAGTGACATTGCTTCATTCAAAACTTCTGTAATTGTAGTCTGTGTAATGTTAGGTTATTATTCAGGTGTTGAGTCTTACTGTCAAATCTGGTTCCAGTATTCTTATGCCATAACTTTGAAAAGTTTTCTGTATTTAGACATTTTTGCTGAGCTTAACTTTTCAACTTAGTTCCTCAGATTTTTCTACAGGATTATAAAAATAGTTAGGCATGTAATATATAACAGGTGTGGGCAAGCAAGAGTTCAGTGGGAGTCGAAATGTAGGTTTTGCAAAATGCACCGGAGCTGCAGATCTGTACTTTTTTATTCTGTACTGCGATTTTATTATATAATATAAATATAATATAAAACAAATATTGATTTTTTAATAAACATATTTTCACAGAATTGTGGAAATAAAATTGTAAAAATAATAATAAAAAGCAGAAGTTAACACTTTCAGCAAGAGCCAAATGCAACTCAAAAAAAGCCACACGTGGCTCTCAGAGCCATATCTGCCCATGTCTGATAGATATATAATATAAAATTTGTAAATTAAAGAAATTTTTTTTTTATGTATTAAAACTAAAATTCCTTTATCAAACAAACAGCTAGATTCTTTCACAAACTATAAGGCTAAATAATTATTAAGCAATTTAGCAAAACACCAGCCTTCCATTTCTTGTTAAATATAGTAATTGAGGCAGACCATTAGTGAAGCCACTTCTAAAAGGCTTTCAGAACTGTGTTCATTCTCAAAATCTTTTTGATCAATTCTGATTAAACTTTGCTATTTCCCAATAATTGCAACTGAGCCATGCCTAACAGAATTTAGGCCAAGGAGTCAAAAATAAAAACAGCATTAGTGCACCTGACAGAAAATAGGTGTGAAAACGAACAGAGAGCAAAACAATCGATGGTGATTGTTTTGTTCTTGAATTGCATCTCCGTGTTGGCAAGTGCAAGGATCATCTCTCCCGTGGCTAGGTTAGCATCTTTTTGAGGCAGTAAGTGCACCTGTCTGCACCCATCAGATATAAGGATTGTCTCTTCTATGCCTAACAGGTGAAGGAATTGCTCCTTTCTTTTCATCACAACCTCAATTCTATCAAAATACAGCAAAGTCACAAGACATCCTAATTAATAAATTAATTAATTAATATAATTTAATTGTAAAATATTCTGAAAGAAAATGGCAAGTTGCTTCTGCAAAATTGCTTAGTACAGAAGACCCCCCTATAAAACAAGTTCATATAATGTGGATTCGTATAGTGCAGCGAAAAAATTGCAACCGTATTCGTATAAAGACGCTAAAAGAAACTTGTAAAATGCAATAAAACATCATTGCCGACTCGTGTCGCAACAGGATTGGTCGAATCTAGACCAATAGCGGATATTGTACAAATCGTTGAGTTTAAACAAGCAGCGGACCTACTAAAAACCATTTATTATTTAACATCCATAAAAATTATATTTATATTAATGATGTCTCCAAAGTTCAGCAAATTTTTTGCAGAAAAATAATTTATCAGGAAACACGCACCTGCTGTTCGATGTGCCACTCCATGACAAAAACAAGCTTAAGCAATGGAGTTGTTGAACGGTGCACACTCGGTAAGTAACCGTACAATTTTTGTTTATAGCATAGTTTATATGGATTATTCCCAAAAAATTATACGTATTTTGGAAATGTTGAGTCAAATTAGTCTAGAATCGATTAATTTTATGGAAGAAAACCTTTCAAATAGACATAGTCCGTAAACTGCATATGTGCCAAGCTGTGATTGGTCAAGTATTTAAGGACTCATAGAACATGAATTTCATAAAAAGTGGAACATATCTACTGCGTTATAGGGGGGTTGACTGTAATTATATAGCCTTTTAGTCTGATAAAAAATCTGGCTGTTTGTTTAGTATTTGAAATGATTATTACATTAGTTGTATTTATTACACAAAATTCCTTTAGTGTATTTTTTTAATAGTTAAAAAATAGAAAAAATAAAAAATATTATAATGCCAAGTTGTGTCAAATTTTCTGAGAAACAAAGTAACACAATTGATTTATTTCATAATTGGCTCCAATTTGAAAAAAATTATAGATCTATAAATTTCCACTGTCCATATATCTTTCCTTAATCTTGAGAAATGAGTTAGATAGATAAGAGACTAGACCGGATATGCAAACCTTAGGGGGTAAAAGGTTCCAATTAACTAATACAAACTTCTGAAGCAAAGTGGAAGTCACGTTATTTCAATTAAAAAATTCTCCTCTGAAAAGTTTTTGATAGATGATCTATTGTTAAAGGAAAAGTACATGGGCAAGTCACTACTAATTTGAGGTGAAGAGAATATATTTTAAATTAAATAAATTGAAAATATAATTAAAAGTTGCAGCCCAGCATTATAACAATGTGACAATAAATAATTGCTTGTTTAATAAAAATAGCAACTTTAGTAATGATCTCTTATATATATAAAAAAATAAAATGAAACCAACCTCACCTTTCTTTCTGTGATATCATAAACTTTGTTTGTTTTAGTTGAGATAGCATATTTCTGTCTTGGAACCTAAAATGTTTAAGTAATTAAAAAGGATGAAAAAATCACCAAACTTCACTGAATCTTAAAAATGCAAATAAAATCATCAAAATTATTAATTTCTGTTATTTAAATGCTTATTGGTTAAGCTATTAATTTAATTAATACTTTAAAAACTAAGTTATAGACAATTAAGTTATTCACAAAAAATACAGTGGGTGATCGGTTAATGAACAAATCGGATAATGAACACTTTTGCGAAAGATTTTTATGATCGGACAACGAACATATGTTCGGATAACGAACACTTCACTGAACAAACACAAGAAGCGACGTAAAATAACGAATACCGATTGGTCTTCCTTTGTCTTCAGGCAACAATTCGAAACTTTTCGGAGTGCGGGAGACGTTGACATCGACGTTTTACCCAGTATATACTGATCGGATAGTATTCCCCCGAACTTTGAAACTCTCTCTTGTAATTCCAGCCTTTTGTATTTCTGACAGAAACAATTCTTTTACGTTTTCTTCTGAAAATGCTGATTTATGCCAATATCTGCTATTAAAGATCTTTTGAAGAAGTAGGAAGATGTCAGAACAATGGTCTTAAAATGGCATCCAAACCAAGTTGAGGTTAATAGGCCTAGGGATCTTACAATGCTATTAATTACCTCTGAAAAATCATGAATAAGACAGAAAAGTAATCGACATTGGATAGATTCTTTAACCCCCACAAACAGAAAAAACATGACTAATAAAAATGCAAGACCGTGTATATATGTATTTTTATTATTACATATAAATAAATGTAGTAAAAAAGTATATACTTTTTTTATTTTGGGGGGTCTCCAGAACGAATTAATCAAATTTCCATAGGAACCTATGGTAAATCGATGATTGGTTAACGAACAATTCGGATAGCGAACAAAGTCTTGGAACGGATTATGTTCGTTAACCGATCACCCACTGTACCTATCTTGATTTTAAAAATAAAAAAGTTGAACAATTTTAGAACTTACATTTGACACAGAGTTTAAACATAATGGATAACCACATAATTTTGAAATAAACCTTTCAACAATAATATCTTCATAATCATTTCTATGAATATCTTTACACTAAAAATAAAAGAAATACTTTTTGTTACTTATACAAAAATCATGATTCATTATCAAAATCATGAATTCATTCAAATTCATTATTCTTTGTTTAATTATTTTTAAATTGAAATTATATATTTTATTCATAGGTATCATTATTCAGAGAATTATGTTACCTAAAAAAATAAAGAAATATTAATTTTAAATAAAGCATATAGAAATGTTTAAAATTTTATTTTCAATATGGAAAGAAACTGAAAAAAATCTATAAATATTCATAAACACTAGAAATTTTAACCAAATGATATAATTTTGTAAAGATAGCAAAATAATAAAATGAAAAACTGACATTGCCATTTAATAGGGTTACAGCAGCAAATATAACAAAAATAAAAAATAAAAAAATAATTTTTAACTTAATTTTTAAATGTTTTCTATTTTGTTTATGTTTAATTTTTGAATAAATTTTTTTCATATTTCATTTCTACAAATCTTCATAAATATGAAATTAAAAGCATTTTCCTAACTGAAAAATCTTGTTAGATACATAGTTGTATCATTATTAAAACTACATCTTTTAATTAAAATATTATCATGCCAATTAACAAGAATTTTTTAAACTATAAAATTAATTTTTTTCGGTTCAAATCTGAATGCATTGGAGGCAGAATAATGGCATTATATGTGATGCAGCTGGGCCTCCCTTCTGAGATTTGTTTGAATAACGTTGGATACCTCGGGTAGTAAAAACTTTTGTAAAGCGGGCTCCTTTCTGCATTCCCTCTAATGATTTCTGGATCTGCTATTGATATATGCTAATTTATTATTATAAAACCAGCATCCATTATGAATAAATGCAGGACTAATAAAAAAAAATTAATTTTAATTATATTATCATTTTAAACATAACAATTATTATAAACATCTAATACATCATAGGTAGCAAACCTTTTTGAGCCCACATGCCATATAGTAAGCATACTTAGCTTTAAAGATATTTATGTGTGCCAAAGCTTCAGACTTCAAATAATGATATTTAGAAAACTTAAACAAATATGCTTTAATTAGAATAAATGTAAAAAATCTGATTGAAAAAAAAATGATCAGGTGATAAACCAAAAGGATGATTGAAAAAAAAAAACAAATAATAAATCAAAATCATATGATATGTTATGTGCCAGATGATTTCTCCTTACATGCCACTTTGGGCATGCATGCCATAGGATTTTTATGGTACTGAAGTTTAAGATGAATATAGCTCATTTATTCTAACCTTGGACACCTCTTCTGTGAGAAATAGTTCCCTCTAAAACTTTAAATTCGTAAGAAACAATGATATGTTTCAAAATTATTTAATTGTCAGTGGTAGTAATTAAAAAAATGAAACTTACAAATAGAGAAACGGATATACGTATATACATTAAGACCCCACTTAACACTACCTCACTTAATGCTGATTTGATGTAGCGCGGACTGCTTGAAGTCTAAAAACAGCTCAAAATTTACACCTATTTAAATTATCGCGGCATTTCATTGATTCGTATATAATATGATTATTTACGAAGTCGAACCAATCAAAAAAAGGTGGCAAAAAGGTGTACTTTCTTTAAATCTATGTTTGTTTGATGCAATTTTGGAAAAAATATAACATCATGGATGCCATACAAAATATTGGCTTCTCTTTGCAAGAATTAACAGATAAATGCACGAACGAAGTGTGAAAAAGTTATGGCTGAAGGTATCCAAGAATTCTCAACGAGAAGAGCCTATTGCTGTATTGTTAGGTTGACCAAACTCAACCTAATCGATACAACAGGACTAGGAGATGCAGATGAACAGGATATTCAGGATTTACCACAGGTTTCTGGTGAGAGCCTTACCAACAACTACCTTCAAGAATTGGTAGAAAATGGAATTCATGTGGAACTGGAAAATAGAGATTCTGAAAATGAAAAACCCAAAAAATTATTCTACAGATTTCCTTAGTAAAAGTTTGGTAAGATAATCAAAACCGTTGATCAAATCGTAGTGAATAATCCAGTTTTTGAAAGGAGTGCAAGAGCAAAATGAGGCATTTTGGATGCGATCTTCTGCTACTGACATTTGCTTAAGAAAAGAAAAAAGTGACAATTGAAACTTTACAACTTTATCGCAAAAGAACAAGAATTTCAGGACCTTCATTACAAAAAATTAACTGTACATTTCTGTATGCACATGTATTATTTAACATATATTATTATACAAATTAATATAAAAATAACTTAAAATTAAAGTAAAATTTGTTTATTTTTGGTCACATGTTTCCTATCTGTATTTACTCTATGTTAAAACAAACTCATTTAACGCTATTTTGCTTAATGCTTTGTTGTCTAGGAATGCAATCCCCACGTTAAGTGGAGTCTTACTGTATATATATTTAACAGTTTTGTATTTTAATTAACTGTTTTCAATAGCAATATGCTCCGCCTTATTGTTTGTTTTTCACTGTTAATATGGCCAACATTAGTGATACAAGTGAAGGATTTAGTTGGAAATCAATTACATGAATTTAATTAATTGTTCAGGTGAATAAATATTTTTATCTGTTAGCGTAAAACTTCTTTGATGTTTACTTATTTTCACTAAGTTTTTGACCTGTCATGTTACAAAAATAAGAAACCATTGAAGGATGTATTTTGTCCAGCAAAGAGTAAAGGCAACCAAAATCTCTTCTAGCCATGCACTAGTTAGAGTAAATGGACTATAGTCTGGATACAACGTTTAAGAAGTTGATATCACAGGATATACAACTCTGTGCAGCTTTTGCAGCAATTTGAATCACCTATAAACCATTCTGTGCACAAATTATCAGCTGAAGTGTAAGGACTTGGAGAAGTTGGTGAAGTATATTTCTCAAATAAATCATAACTTTTTAATAAATTTCCATATTTGGAAAAAAGTTTTTTCTAGATGTCACATGTCTACAACTGAGTTGCCCAACTGTTGTCTATAACCCATTGCTACACTATCAGCTTAAGTCTCTGAACTGAGGATAAATGTTAACTTTGAGAGGGCAAAAGCTGTTCATACCATACATAAAATGCACCACATTAGATCTCTGTAGTTCCTCAAATGTTAAGGCTATTGTAAAGCCTTAAAACTTTTAATGCATCAATCACAAAGATGCAGACTCATTATTGTATATGCAGTTATATATACTTTTATGATACCACTTAGTGAGGGATGTCAGGAGGAATTTAAGAGAAGGTGTAGTAAGCTTTGTATACATATCACTTGGATAGATCTGATGTGATTGTTTATGTAAAATTTGTTTTTTATTTATCTATAAAAGGTAAATAAAAATTTATATTTTGTTTGTTTGTTGTTTGTTTTTATTTATATTTTTCTCATTTTTATCTTTTCTGTTAATAGTTCATTCCCCATATGAAACATCAATTTAAATGTTTAAATCTAAATTTTAAATCTGTAGCTCTATCAGAATATACTGGTTTAGAATGTTTTAAATAAAAAATTTTAAATTCGTGAATTGTTTTGAAATTTATTGGTTTCAAATATTCATTTTATGAAACATTCCAATCTTTGTTTTTGAGAACTGAAGAAGGCCTATTAATGAGGCCAAAAATGTTTCTCTCAGTAAAATACTACTGGAAAGTGGAAAGGTGTCAGTTTGTTACACACTTACTCACATAGACATTGCATCAAACATACATTTTTGTCTACTGAATATTTGTGTTCTTTTAACCTGCAATCTAAAACATAAATAGTAGAACTATACCCGAGTATCTCACAATTTTGTTAAACACAATTCTGAGTAAATTTTTCATCCAATGGAGAATTATTGTTTAAAACACAATGACAAAATCTGCTCAAAAGGGATCACCATTTATTTTTTCTGTGTTCCAAGAATACACACTTTTTTGGCAACTGGTTTTTCTTTGTAGGCTACTTGTCGCCGGAAGTTACAAAAAGTCCTTTTAAAAACACAAAACATATCCAATTAAAATTATAAATAATTTCTAAAAAAGGAAGTGTGTAGTCTTGGAACACAGAAAAAATAAATGGTGATCCCTTTTGGGCAGATTTTGTCTTCATGTTTTAAACAATTCTGAGTGTGATATTATAATCAATGATTGTACATGGAAATGATAGAAACTTACAAGGCCAGCATAAATAACACAGCTATCAACTATAAGAACAACATGCTATCCCCAACATGAAGATTGGATATTTATTGGACATTACTGGATATTTAATATTACATTCTACATCCCAATGCAACCATACGATCACCGACTGCTGATCAGACATTATTTGTTTTATATTTTAAATTATAACATTCAATCTCTTGTTCTAATCTGATATCTGTTTATGAATACATGTTTTTAATAAAATTTCCAGGACTATAACTGTAAAATTAATATATAATTTAAGACTTTCCCGTGATGGCACAATAACGAGTCTTTTGTGCCATCACAGGAAGGAAGTCCTGAAATGTTCTTCATAGTAAGGCAGATGAGCAGCCTCTAATAAAAAGTCGACTCCCTCATAAGACTGTTATTTTCCTGAGGTGAGAAAGAACATCAAAAGACTCGTTATTGTATAGTTTTAAACTGTATATTAATTTTACATTTTTTAACTTGATGATGATTGCTAAAAGCAATTGAAAATGTTCATTTTGCTCCATCATTTTGTGTTATAAGCTAGGTTTTTGGTTTTATAAGTGAAATCAATGATTGTAGTGGGTTCACTCCCAGTTAAGTTGCTCACATCTGTCCAATCTGAAATCTAAGCATGTACTTATGCATGAAGCCCTTAAATAGCCTTCTCCAGAATCTATGTATCTCTGCTATCTCCTTGATATAGCTAAACTCCTTAAGATAACTAACATGTTTGTGCAGTGAGTAAAATGAGTAAAAGCCTGTTTGACTAACAATCAAAATGCCACCAGCTTGTAGGCATAAGAGTCAGTAGAATAGGACAAATAAATGAGACATGAATCCAGTACAGCAGATGTGGCC